TTTCTTTATAACATAAATACAATCGTAATGGTATATTATATGTGAACATATGTATCGCTAATTATTTAAAGAAAAGTAAATTAAAATATACTACTCACCTCCCACTATTTATGAGAAATAAAGTTATATTATAATGGAAATTTTTTTAGTGAAAAAATATGATCAGAAAGAGTCATGCCATTCTTTCAAAAAAAAAGGCCTCAGAAAAAATGAAAGCAGGTAGGCGGAGGGTTTCGCAACGCATGAGAAAATGAAAGCCGGTCTTCCGATTCGTGAATCAAACGGCGCCAAAAAGCCATCTTCCTTCATTCCTCTTTCTGTTGGCGCCTACGAGTATGAAAATCCTTCCCCCCATTTTCTCGTAACTTCCATCATCTTTCTATCATTTCTCTTCATTCGCAGTGTGCTTTTCTTTGACTGCTCATCACAAATTCAACGCTCTACTTTGAGAAGAGCGAAGCTGAACTCCAAACACCACCACCACCACCCCAACAAACTACAAAGCAGAACTAGCCTTGCTCTTTCTGCCAAACAACTTGCTGCGTTTCCAACAAGGTATACCAGAAACATTGATCGCAATCTTCCAAATGCTCTGGCTTTTCAGCCGCCACCGTTCTGTTCAGATTTTATGGATTCTGTGCTTTTCGTCTCGTTTTCTTATTTTCGTGCATTCCTGGCTGAGTTTTTTACGTTGGGTTTTTTGGGTTTTTTTGAAGCTCGGTTCTTATTTCCGGACTTTTTATTTGTTCTTAAAGTTTCCTCGAAAGAAGCATACCGCTTTGGATCAGAGAGATTATTGAGTGAAAATTGGGTTTGGCCAATTCTGGACGCCTATTTCTCTGGATTTTCATTGTTTTGGCGGTCATCTACTTGTTGATGGATTCTGATATTGTCTCCGCATTAAAACCTTGTTCGGTTTGTTGTATTTCTTGTGGAAGCCACGGCCTGTCCTGTCTTCTGATACAATTAAATGTATTGCAATCCAAATTCATTCTGTCTGTCTTAGCGATTTGGTCAGGTTAAAATCCAGAGAGCACGCTCAGATTTCTCCATGGTAAGACCTGCAGAATGCCGTTAGATCGTGATATTCATTTCTCGATCAAACGAATCTTGCTTTGATGAATCTAATCTCTTTAACCGTGATCGTTAGGGTAAAGCTCCGGCATTGTTCGTTGATGACACGCTGAGCGGACATCCTAATGCCTTTGATCTCGAAAATGGTACTCGCAGAACAAAACTATAGTTGGCGATAGAACGGTACGTCATCTCTTACCGTTGTTCTGCTGATTCATCTATACCAATATCATCTGCTTAAATGAAAACTCCGGTCTCCGTTTGTTCAACAGTACGTCATTCGTGAAGCTGAGGATGAGAGTTTGTGCATTGAAGTTCAAATTTTTGACCCAAGTCTTAGAGAATGGTTAGTTCAAGGTTTCTTCTCTTCGAATGGCCGGTTCTGTCTGGCTTTTGTCGCCAATTTCTATATCAATGTGCAGGGTTTATCCCACTATTCTGGGCACCAAACCTGTGTCATCTCAAGCGCGCCATTCAGCTGTGCTTTGAAAGACCGAATACTGATTATTAAAGGGGTTCTGAGCCAGACGATCACACTTGGTTTCTAGAGGTTGGCGTTTTTACAACTTAAATATAGTCATTATCACTATTCATTCGTGCGAATTCTTAGGCAATATTATTCTGTAATAGGCGAATGGGTAATGATTATAATATTTTTTAATTATTTCTATAATGTTTGCAGGTAGACACCCAATATGTTCGGCAGCAGAGAGAAATTCTGAAGACTGAGGTGGTTGCGTGGAGTAAAGGTGTGATAGGCAATCCCCCAAAACCTGTCGTTATTACTGGTCCTTCTGGAGTGGGAAAGGGAACATTGATATCAATGCTCGTGAAGGAATTCCCATCCATGTTCGGTTTTTTCGGTGAGCCACACCCACGCGGCCCCCAAGAGGCATGGAGAAAGACGGGGTCCATTACCACTTTACTTACTGAAAAGAGTGCGATGGAGAAAGCGATCAAAGATGGCAAGTTTCTTGAGTTTGCTTCTGTTCACGGCAATCTCTATGGGACCAGTGTTGAGGCTGTTGAACTCGTGGCAGATTCAGGAAAAGTACGTTCCTTGTGCTTCAGTGAATGTTGTATTACATTAATTGCAAATTTTGGCATAGTGGGCATTCAGCCAGTCTGACTCAACAATCTGACCGAATCAATTTTTTGAAGAAGCCTCAATGGAATGGCTTTCTCTTCCGAACCAATCAGGGTTTCTGTGAGTAATCAAGTGTTAATTGAGCTTCTCTGGTAACTGACTGATTTATAGAGACATACTGCATACTCAATGTAATGACAGCATTTTTTACTTTCTGACAAAAAATTGAATGCCCTTTCAGAAGCGCAGCTAGATCTCATGTTGTAACCTAAACCCTAAATCTAAATGAAAGCTAACCATATCATTATCATTGCAACCCGATGAATGCCTTCTTCACAGATATGTTTTGGATATTTTAAACCTGAAATGATGGTATATTATTTTTCCTTTTGATTCAGAGATGTATTCTTGATATTGATGTTCAAGGGGCAAGATCCGTGAGGGCTAGTTCCCTTGAGGCCATATTCATCTTTTTGTCCCCCGTCGATGGAAGACTTGCAGAAACGCCTTCGTGACAGGTAAACTCATAACTAAAGTCTTGTTAATTTTTCCCTATCATTCGGAGTGTCGGTCTAAACCTCAGTGTTTCGCTTCTGTGCAGGGGAACAGAGACAGAAGAACAGATCGTGAAGCGACTACGAAATGCTGAGGCAGAGATTGATGCAAGAAGGTCACGGGTCTATTGATTTCTTCTTGTATAATGGCAATCTTGGGAGTGTTATGGGAAACTTAAGGTAACTCGGCCGGTCCCTACAGTCATGTTTAGAAACTCAGAGAGCTTTTTTGAAATTCAAATTATCCTGATCATATATCCATTTGTCCAGAAACTATTGGGACTAGATGCCTCTCTCTCTGCTCAGTCAAAGCCAGGTACAGTTCGTTGAAGTACATCGACCTGATTTTAGCTTTACCTTTACAATATCATTATTATACCAGCAGATAAATTCGTGTGTTTAATCTGTCAACTCAGCACCCGAGAAATAAATCTACCGACAATCATTCGGTGACAAATTTGACGACAAAATCATCATAAACTCCCTTTGTACAGGGCGAGAAAAGGAACCAAAGAGGTTGTAAGGATTGTGTAGCGAATTACCTATTTAGCCACCAAAGGAGATTCTCTGTACTGATGTGACTGGAATACTTGGCTGAGCAGGATCATGTTAGATGTTTTCCTCACTCAAGGGAGGTGCACCTGGACGCACGAGGGGGCTAAGTTTCCGTGTTATAGACCCGCATTCAGGTGGTTTGAGTGGAAGGGATCAGCTGAGCTAACATTTGACGAACCTGACCCTGTTCTCACTACCTTGGTTCCTTCCTTCATTATTAATTTGATTTGATTCAACGGGACGCATGATAAGGCTCTGGAGTCGGTCCAATTTGTTTCTTTCTTTTTTAGTAACGACCCGTCATTGTTTAGGCCACGGACCTGAATGCGGCACATTTATTATTTTTCCTACATGGCAGCGACGGACGATTTGTTATTTGCGCGACTATTGGTGTATTGTTATTGGCGATGATGGCGTAATACGAGTGTAATGTGTGGATTCGTACATGTATATTTTACCTGGTGAGGTGAATAAGCGAAGAATTGAAAAATCCATGTAAAAAAAGAAATCACATTTTCCTTTTTCTTCCTTTGTTTAGTTCTTTCTTATATTTAGAAGCTCTGTTCAGATCGGGATGTGCGTCGGTGACGTCGACGTTGGTGATTATTAGGAGGAAGATGGTGTGTTTGAGGGTAGAAGGGGGTCTCCTGCAGACTGGGGAGAGAATGGAGGAATGATGAACAGAAAGAGGAAGAATATGAGAGTACTTAGATGCGCACCCCCAAGTGCTACGGCACCTTCCATTTGATGGAACTTATTTAACGGTATTGACCTCTGAATTTATTTAGGAATTAAGACATATACGTTTGAAATTTAAGGATTTATTTTAAATAAAAAATAATATTAAGGCTACGATAAATTTTGAATATGTTTCCGACAATATTTAAATAAATATGTCAGTTTCCACCCATTAAATTAAAAAATAAATTCTTCTATAAGACAGGATCGACCCCGGATAAGGCTGGAAATATTTCCGGTAGGCCCATTTTCAGCGTGATTGAAACGATTACGGAAAGAATGATGGAGCTGGCAAAGGCGTTCATGCAGTTATCAGTTTGGGAATGCAAAAAGAAGAAGTCAGGGGATACTGACCAATGAGGGGTTGCCAGGTGTTGGATCAGGTGGGGCCCAAACTCCCCATTCTTAGGGATGTCTCCACGTACTTGCTTCTGCCATTGCCACCCAATTTCAGGGACCCAAGAAAGGGCAAGTGGGAAAAGGGCCTCCCATGGCCTTCTCCTCCATGGTGGGTTCCCCTCTCACATGGCAGTGAATACTCATGACAGTGATACAAGCCACTGCTGTGCCCAGATGGAATTTGAGTTCGCTTTCTTCCTCTGGCACCATTCCTATTTTGCTCTTGACAGAACTGTCAACCTAATTTTCCTATTTCTACATTAATAATGGTTTTCACATTAAAAACTGTCAACAAAGTACTTCTTTACATGTGTAGATAAAACTCATCAACGTTACTTCTAGCATCCTGCCTTGCTCTTTATCGTGGGATCTTCACATCAGTCAACTATACTATTCAGCTAGTTTATTATTTACCCTGTCCATTCCACGAAGAGAGTAAACTACTCTTAATACAGTCCCCTACAACTTATTTGTAAAAACGCCAGCACCTCACAAGGTTTCAAGACGATGAAGATCTGAGGGCAGAAAGCCAAGCCAAGAATGACTTCCCGCGACAATAACCATATAACACAAAGTTGGCATGATCCTATCTCCTCAGTCGGGTCAATGTCTACCTCGCGATCCTCATGTGAATGCCTGCCTCCCTATCTTTGCCCCTTTAAGATTATTATGATGGGAAATAATTATGAAGTCCAAAGAAAGAATGTAATCACCAAAAATTTCCACAATAGGATTTTTTGGTGATTACATTCCTTTCTTAGAATTTCATAGTGATTTTTCCTATATGATACACCTCAAGTACAAGCCTTCCAAGAACACTAACATCAAGACCTCATAACTGTTGGAGAAGAACCTTGAGACCCCATGAAAGGTTCGTTTCATTATTAAATGCTCAGGGCCCTGCAAGCACCAGAGAATCCTTTCGGCTTCCTCTATCACTTGAGAGAGGTTGATAACCAGACAGCTCAGATCCCTGAATGTGCGAGTAATAATTGCTGCCATTAGACCTGGAGTGCACGTCTGATTGGGGGGAATTGAAGATTTCTCGGGAACCAGATTTGAGTCAGCAATGGCAGACAAATTGGGAGATGTGCCTTTGGGGTCTGAACTAATAGTTTCCTGGTTCTTGTTTGCTGTATTTGCAGCAGGACCATCAGCCTTCTTTGTTGTCAGAAAACGGCCTCCACACCCTCTTGCTCGTCTCAAGGCATGCAAATGTCGAGACTCATGAAGATAAGGCTGCAGATAAGATAAAATGGTCATGCACCAAATTGCGAGCTAGAATCCTGAATATGCTTGTTTGCAGTAGTAAAGGTCTTGGGATTTCCCTTCAATATGCTTACTGACAAGAATTTCATGCCATTATAAAAGTGGAGTGCCTGTTGCATGTACATACAAGGTGGACAGCCAAGCATTGTATTTTGGGCTTGGAAGATGGACATCTTCTAAATATTAAATTCAAATGCCGCAAAACAAGTGACTGACGCAACAATTATGGCAACCAGTCCACATTACAGCAGAGACTGCCTTGAATCTCTAGTCGGAGTAGTGGGAGAAATTCAGAAGAAAAATGCCCAACCGGATGTCCACAAGTTGAAGGTGACTATTCAAAGCTTGGAGTTTATCAAAACACACAGGCTCAAAATAAAGCAGCATATGAACTTTGAAAGCAGCCAATTCAAAGGAGTTCATATTGTTAATAATAAGAATAGACATAAGATCATGAAGCTGATAATACCAAACAGAATGTTATCATATTACTCGTGTACATGACTTCTGTTTCATATTAACTTGGTAAAGTAAAACGCCACAGTAACTTGATTATGAGTTATTACTACTAAGAGAAGGAACTTGGTTAAAAGAGGGTGCTTCCGATTAAGAAATGCTCCCAGTTCAGTAAGAAGTGTCTAAAAGTTGGTTCCACCATTAATAAGCTTGTTATAAAGAGGTAACTCTACAAGTTAAACAGAGGTGTCCCCTACTAGTTGCAGCTTTCTTATAGCAATTCTTTTGTGAGCTTATTGTGTTAGATTGACCAGTTATGTGTATCAAGTGCAGTGCAGCAGTGGAGTGTGGGAGAAAGAAAGATACATAATTAGCAATCGAGATCACATCAAATATTTCTGGAAACGGAATAGTACCTTTCTCGCTTTTATCACCTCCTTTCAAGCTCAGCCTTGGCACGGGATTGCCTACGCCTCAAAATTCCATGGTATTGCTTGGCATTAACATAAACAGGTTCTTCTTCCATTTGCAATGGTAAAACCATTCTAGAGGAATTCACTCCAAGACCAGCAGGATGTAATAGTACCGCCCAAAAACGAACATGAGTCATAATTCTCCAGAGAAACAGATAAATATAAGCCATGACAACATTTATGAGAAAACGGTCCGTATCATGCTTTTAAACAAATTGATTTCTAATTAAGATTGCACTCAACAAAGCATTGCATCATATAAAATTCAAATTGCTGCTTTCAGGAATAAAAATCGTGTTAATCATCATATAAAGGTCAGCATAACATGCATGCATGTTGCATATTACTACTTGTAGCTAGTATAACGTGCACGGAAATGAACATGAGTAGGAGTAGCAGTAGCAGACAATTAATGAACTATTTGACATGCACAATAACAAGTATGAAATAACAAATAAGAGGCCACATATTTCATACCAAAGGCTGAAGTCCAAAAGTAGGAATTGCTCCCCTATGCTGTGGATCTGGATAAGGGTAAGATGCGCATGCCTGCAAAAAATATGAAATTCAGACTTTCTAGAACATTACGTTGCAATAACTATAATTAAGACTCCAATTTCCAACATAATAAAGAAAACCCGTAAAAACTAAATTCTAAGTCTGGTTTTTTATATGGCCTTCAGAACTTGAAACTGAGGAATTTCCATATCAGAGTTTGCTATGGCTGTAGTATGAGCTAAAAATATCAAACTAATTCCAATAGAAGGAAATTCAAATCTGAGCACTGTGTGTTGCGCGTGTTGTGAGAGAGAGAGAGAGAGAGAGCTCACTGTTGAATGGCCAACAAGCTCCGGCTGTCTAGGTGGCGCAAGAAATTCATTTACTGTAGAAGGCATAGTACGGACAGCAAATTGCTGCTGTTGATGCTCTTGATACTTTTCTCTACCTGCTAGTGCAAACAATGTCTTTAGGAGGAAATGTATTCCCAATCTATGCGTAGCACCTTTAAAACAAATGGATTCACATTCCTAGAGACAAAAACAGAACAATATGCCTATGAGGAGATCCCCGGAAGTCAAAGGAGGAAAACATCACAAGTGAAAAAAAGCCATCCAATTTAAGTCAATTAGAAGTTGCAAATGGATAGGCAAGATACGTACCAGAATGGTTCAAATAAATCTCTGCTTAGATGGTGCATAATGCTTAATTTTCAAGGATAATTCCTTTTCTTGGAAGCTCTTATGGAACAGGAGAGTTTTTGTGGCTTCTCTTTGGTGCTCTTCCCATGGTTTATTTAATAGAGGCTCCCTACCAAATGCAGGTGGTACTCGTAGCTCTTCTGCATCGGTGACTCTCCTGACTTTCACTATTTTCTTCCTTATTTTTGTTGTTTAAGAGGATAGCCTAGTCCTCTCTTTTCTTTATACTAAAATTTCTCACAGAAAAAAAAAAACACAAATAAACAGAGGATAATGAATGAGTTGGCTACTCTAATTAACTTGAGTTTGAACACGCAAGCTATTGTAAACCTCAGTGAAGTAAGTAAATATGGAACCTACAGCACAAAACTCTAACGCTCAAAATGTCATTTATGAAGAACGCATGCAAAAGATTTCGAATGCAATTTCATCTGTAGCACGAAACAGAAGAATAAATATATTCATGATCAATATTTTGGGCAGCATTTGATTGATTTGCTTTACCTAAAAGCATGTGTATGTCTAACCTAAAACTGATCCTAATACAAGTAACTGAGCAAAGAAGGTAAAATGACTTTTGATTTGCACCTATCAGGCACCAACAGATTTGTTATTTAGGATGTCATATTAGCACTTAGTAAAAAGAGAATCAAGGGAACAGGAGGAAGTGCCTTTCTCTTTGGTGGCTTCCTTCCCTTCAGCCAGCAAAGTCATAGCGTGTGAAGTATTGGTCGGGTTCCCAAAACTACCATCCCAATGCGGCACAAAAGAATTCATTTTGACTTGCCCTGCCATCTCTTTAGAGAAGGCACCGTGCCCTGTGCCATGCCACCAAGCTTGAGAACAGGTCGTATATAGTTTGTTGCTCCATAGATCTGATTCATAACGGTTTGCAGGGTCCAATTTTTGTCTCATGCTTCAGTATAAATCAATTTTCTGCTCAACTGTGGAGGCAGAAACAATGATCAGCATACAGAGACTCCTCGCATGTAAAGGCAAATAAAACATACCAGACTTGGCGATCACCACAGATGCAATAAACCACTAATTTATATTACTTAAAATAGAAAATTTTCATGTAGTACTTCAATTTCCCGTGGCAAAATCTATTTTAATTTGAAGAATAATTGACAAGTGACACGCCCGAAAAGCTAACTTCTTTTTTCCTTAACAAACACAACGACCTGGACACTAGCTATAAATCAGGGATTTATAGTAAAAATTTAACCAAAAATTGGCGCCCCAAGAAGTTTATCTTGTCGCTCGATAGGAAGAAACTGATTCGATCCAATAATTATTGTCGAAAGCAGCGCACGTAAATCAACTCAATTATTGTCGAAAGCAAGCCAATTAATGCACTCGAGATGAAACAAATATGAGAAAACTTTGTTTCTTAGCTTCCGCCATCCACGTCTTCATAAAGTCCACTAAGAATCATGCATGCATGCACATGCCATAATTAGAAAGTGGGGATCACCATTATGAATTACTCGTTGTCCTGAATCTTTATAAAATCCAGGTTAACCGGAAAGGGAAATACACGCACCCGCGCGCACCATAATATTGAACGTGAAGTGAGTAATAAATCAGAGCCCATCAAGATCATATCTATAACATATGCAGCTTAATTTATCAGGCAAAGCAAATTCAGCAAACCAAATTACTTGAAAGCAAACCCAAGTCATTAGGATCATTTGCGATCTTGCTACATGACAACGCAATCCATCCAATTAATTAATTGAAAAACCAACACGCAGGGGAAGAAACACATGGCCAAAAAGCAAAAGAAGGTGTTACAAATATCGAGAAATCAATCAATCACTCGCAGAGAGCAAGAGAAAACATAAAAAACACACAGGAGCTTACTGTGATATGTGTGAGTGAAGCGTTGATACTCTAATTACGGCATGATGCAATAATTTGCGGAGAATGAGGACCGAGATTCAATGATATAGAGAAAGGGACGCTCTGTAGCACTGTAGCAAGCAGACACCAGAATGGGGAGTATAGAGGATGAGGAAATAATGAATCTCTTTTATCATTATTACTATTATTGTTATGGTTTTTTCGGTGGGGATGGTGAGTGGGGAAATGACCAGAATGCCATGGAATGTGCGTGGGAAATCACAGGATCTCAATAGTTAAGGAAGGTGACAATGGTAAAAGGCGGAGACAGGTGCCCCCAGGCCAAAACAGAAACAGTTGGAAGAAAAAGAAGAGTGAGAGGGCACGGATCTCGTGATGGGGACGGGCACAGCCACGTGTGTGGAGACAAACGCCTGAATGGTAGGAAGCCCTTCACGTGTCCCTCCCGATAACTCACCTCCCCCCACCCACACTCATCCGCGCTTCTTTATCTGAAAATGATTTTATTTAATATTGATTTTTTTAATCAATGACACCATGATTCAGCGACGGGCGATCAATTCTGACTTAATTAATTCGTCATGTTCATCTCGTCGCTTTCTCTATTTCTTATTTGGATTGTATTGGATTCTCCCTTTTTCTTTTCGGCGTGCAATATGCTTACTTTAGCACTTCTAGAGTGGACTGAGCAGAAATAAGTAAGTGGCCAGTAAAAATAAGTTAAAACATTGTCCACAAGAGTAAAATCAACAGGTTCATGATGTGAACCCCTTTTTTTTTTGGTAAAAAAAAATATTTCTAATTTTCTATTCTTCTTTTTTAATTAGATTTCGGTAAATTTTTCAACCAGATTACTATGATTACACCAAATTTTTAATAGGTTCCTCGTAGATTTTTTTTTTCTTTTAAGCAGTCACTTAAAACTATGAAAATCTGATTAAAAAATCAGATTAGAAATCAGATGAAATAATAAGATCTAATAAAAAACTACATGAATTTAATTAAAAATTAAGTTAAAGTATAAGGAGTGCAAATTAATTTTGAAAAAAGCATAATTGGGATTTGGAGCAATCCGGTTCCTTCCCCATTACGTTACCGACCTCTCTTGCCCACTCCCCACCGACCAATAGTCTTGGACTCTTAATTACACGAAATTAGCCAACCAAAAATTAGAAAATCACAGAATTACAGGGTGGGCTTCATTCATAGTTTTCCTCCCATTATAACAGTTTTCTTTTTCGGAACTTATTTATTAACTTATGGTTGGAACCACAGATTTTTTTTTTTTATTACCAAAGTTGGAACCACAGATATGGATAACACATTTTATGCTTATATTTGCTTAATTTTTCTTTATCTATATATCAACAAAAATATAACTTGATTTACAAAAGTTCTGAATTAAAAATATTCATTTTTAAACAGATGAATTTTACAAAATATGTACTACTACTCTGGTACTTGATCTATGATGTAATTAATTTTTGATCAAATATTAGTTAAATTAATTAATATGATGCTCCTCTGGTTCTAAATATAAGGCATATTTTGTAATGTAATTTACATTACAAACTAAGTCTTATATTTAGAACAAGTGAAAACACTACAAAATAGGTCTTATATTTAAAATTAACGGAATATGTATTTTTTTTTTAACATTCTAAATATATTTCTTAATTTTCTTTCTCCATCTCCTACTTGATTATTGTTGGGAGACTATCCATAGGATTGATTTGAAAAAAATTAATAAATTTATATATAGAATTAATATCAGCTCTTCAATTAACTCCCACGTGAGAGTAGTAACATCTTGGCAAAATTACAATTAGGTCCCATCTAAAGGAATTAAATACAAAAAAGTCTCTTAAAATCATGAAATTATTTTGAAGTCCCAATGAATCTTTTCTGCAATAAATTTTATTTGTTTAATTACTAAATCACTCTTTTTTTTTAAAGTTTGCATTGACGACTAAGAGAGCATTGATTGACAATTTAAGATGCAAAGATTAATAACTATTGTAGCTGGTTTAACAATACATTTTCTTAGCATATCACAAAATGTAACACATGAGTTGTCAAACTAGCCGTGACAATCATTACACCCTAAATTGTCAACCACTACTCTTTCAGTTGCAATGCAAACTTAAAAAAAAAAAGATAATTTAGTAATTAAACAAATAAAATTTATTACAAAAAAGTCTCTTCAGACTTCAGAATAATTTCATGATTTCAAGAAAACTTTTTATATTTAATTCCCTTAAATGGGACCTAATTATAATTCTTCCTAATGTCTTCCTTGGTACAAAACTCGCAGAATACGCAATACTGGCCGGGAAACACACATTTGTAACTAGATATGTGTTTTTACACTTTTGTTATGAAGCGTTCCAATTAACATAATAATATACATAATTAAATAAAAATTGCATACTTATCAAACTATTATTATCGAATGCTTATCTATTTATCCTTGTCAACCTTGTCAAGTTGATCTCCGTTATATGTCTTCTTCTTTTTTTAATCGGCAAAGCATATATCCTTCGATTAGATATAATCATATTTGAGACACTACCCGATCCTAAACATATATAAATCTCATGTTTTGAGGAATTAGTTCTTCCCACCAAGCCCAATTCCAATTAGTTTTTTTATACCTAACTTGAACTGATTGATTGTCATTTGCGTGATGACATTAATACTGTTCCACTGAAAGGCCCATTTAAAACATAACTTAGCATCCACACGACTATAGGCCGTTAGGCCTGCCTAATTAACCACCTCCCATTATATTATCGTCCCATTTTTTTATTTTCATTCAGTGGCTTGATGCGGTATTCGAATTTCAAAGCCATATTTCATTTTAACACTTTTTAAAATTTTTAAATTGATTAGTATTCATCAAATGGTGGCAGAGCCCCCTCTAGAAATGCACATGTGAAGGCGAGTTTTTGGAATTTAAAGAGGAACAGTGAAACCTTCTTGATTTAATTAAGAATAATAAATCAGAAATTTATAAAGAAATAATTTTTTTTTATGTCGCCGACACCAAAATTCCTTGTTTTCTCTAGGGAAGTTCAATAAATAGTAAAGGAATTAAAATTTTCACGAGGAAACGGAGATTCCCCTTACGTGCGTCCATGGAATAAAATTCTTTGAGAGAAAAAATAAAGAGCAGCTTCATCGGATTCTCCTCATCCATGTGCTTTTGTTGTCAATCCCTTCATGTGTGTTTCCTTTTGCAGGACACTTTCAATCTCATCCTTAAAATAATTAAACCTTACATGCATGTATTATTCTCCATCCCTAATAACGTACAAATCATCCATCCTTGGATTCTCATACTTGATGACTGTACTTTTTTGGATTTCTATTCCTTTTGGGGTAGCGTAAAAGATAAGAGTGACAATGATAACCACACTCTTCCTTCCTAACCTTTCATATTGATGTTTGTTAGGTGATGTAACTTTAATCCTGTAAAGTGGTCTGGGCTCTTCTGATTAGTACTTGAAGAATGTATCAGTAGGGTATGGCGGGATCGATTGGAAGATGAGAAAGAAGAAGACAGCTTTGCAGGTTTAAAGATTAGTGTGTCGATGACAAAAAGGAAGAAAGCAATATTAGGGATTAAAGTTGCAGAAGGAATATTCAAAAGCTTGATCGTTCAAAAAGTTCCTTCCTTTTCTAGTTTCATAATTCCCTCTGCTTCTACGAAAAAAGTCCGTTTGATTTGGCTTCATTTTGAATACCACTTTAACCTTTTGAGGAACATGTGAGTTATATCATACTGATCATGAGTTATAGTCAATTAATCACCTAACCAGTGCAGATTATTATGTTGGTTTTGCTGTATACTTTTCTTTGACATCCGAAATGGTCAAATTAATTAATTATATAATAAAACCTTCATATTTATCCTAATCAAAGCTTCACTATCGGCAACACGTACAGCACCGGCAAACAAGAGAAATTAAAACGAATAGAAATCAAACAGTTAGAGAGCTTGCACCTGATTATGAGGGTAAATACATATTTCTTCACTCTTCAATAATTACTGGACTGCAAATTAAAGTACCTATAGTCATAAACACAGTAAACTAAACTGCACTGAGCTGAACTGAACTGAACTGAACTTTAACAGTCTATGTGGGGTAGATCACAGCTCAGGCCGATACATTTCTAAGAGAAGAAAAGAATAACTCTATATCAGGGGTAGAGAAAAACGCTATTGGGGATCTAATAGATGAGTAGTTTTGGATTACCCTTGTCTTCTTCGGAGCAGGTGGGCATGATAATATCTCTGGTATTTTGAACCTCTCAGCCTTTGGAGTACAACATCCACTTGAATATATATCTTCTTCTTTGTCGTTTTCCTCCTCTTTCTTCATATTCTGATCACCAGCGACAAGTTCATGGGTCTTTGAAGGAGTTGCGTACCCAGAAGAAGGCCTCGTCGTCACAACTGATTCTTGCTTCTTCTTCCTCCTCTTGGTCGTCGTCTTCTTCATCTTTCTCTGATCAACTTTCTGCCATTTATTATCGATGATCTGAGCCTTTGCAGAAGATGGCGCCATCTTAATGCAGAGATTAGTTATGGCGAAAATCTTTGTTGGCAGCGAAATATTCTGATTGATTCTGAGGCATCAGAGAATTTTCATGCCGAGGGAGTTTGAAAAGTTTCTTCTACGTCACACGTAAATCCAAAAAAGAAAACACTAATACATCAGTAACTGCTACCACTAGCTTGAAAAATATCAAATTTTATACTGAGATCTCTCTACCAAATCCTTATAAGAAAGAAACCCCTTTTAAGAGTCCCTCTCTATGCTTACATGAGAGCTCGCCTTTTTGCTCCAGGTCGTATTATAAGCTTTACCCTACTAACTGAATAGATTATATATAAAGCAACAATATGTGGAAAAGGAGATCGAGGGAGGGGTGAGGGAGTGAGAGAGAGAGAGAGAGAAGCTAAAGTTATATATAAAGCAACAATGGAGGGGAGCTGAGGGGGAGACAGAGAGGAGAAAGACGAGCTTTCCTTTTAACAAGTGTAGCCTTTTCAGGTGGAAGATCAAATCAGGAGAAGAGAGATAAGTTTTTGTTTAGGTTAATGTATGTATTAAATAATAACGTCAATATGTATATTAAAAAGTGTGGAGCATCGTATTTTATAATATACTGCTGATGATAAACATGGTGGAGATTAATAAATCCCAGCAGCCAATTAACTAATAGATTGGCAATAGAGTGATTACCACTGTTTTTAACAGAATCATTGTTAATATATACTACTATAGAAAATAGAAATGATTTGATTCATCACTATAATTGACCTGAAAAAATATACTCGTCCGATCCTTATTATAAGACCCAATTTGACTTTTTATTTGGTCCTAATTATAAGACCCAATTCATTTTCTCTCTTATATTTATATATTTTTTTCCAAGATAATTCTTCTAATAATGATAGTTTTAGCCAATATACTTAATTAGCAAGGATATTTTAGGAATGACAACACTTATTTATTATAAATAACCAACTTAACTTACTTTCTTAATCTCCTCAAATAAGTCAATTGGGTCTTATAATTAGGACCAGAGGAGTATTAATTAATGATGCAATTATGGCTGTCGGAAAATATTTTTAATGTAAGGTTTTAGTTGGTCAAAACGATGATATTCATTCGGCAAATTAAAGTAGGGACCCTTTGGCAGCCCGCAATTGTCTATATTCGGCCATGATAGATAACCATATCTTAAAGGTTGAAACTTGTGATCTTCGTTGCATCACCCAAATTAAAAGTACACTAATTATAATCTAAATTGCGTTTACCTAATACATTCTTAAATGAAAAGGGAAGTTACCTAATTGATGTACCATCTTATCTCTGTGTGTATGGATATGGATATGTTCTCCCAATCACGTGCCATTCGTGTGCTGCTTGATTAAATCATCGTGGGTTGGGGGCAGTTGTTCTTAATAGGCCAAAAATAATACTAGGCCAAGAAAATTTTTGCAAATATGACCACGCAGTCCCGTGATTTTTAAAATGTCCGTTCGCCCCCCGCTTTTATTTCTTAGTTTTCATTTTTGCCCATTTTGGTCAACGTTCGCCCACTTTAGTTGTTAGAACGAAACAAAGCAGCATCTGGGCCTCAGGTTCCAAGAAGGCATTTCATTTGGGCCTCTAGTTTCGAGCAAGTATTTCGCTTGGGCTCGTAGAAACAGAAAATAGTTTTGGACCAAAAAAAAGTGGGGAAAAAAATGAACGGAAGAAACAAAACTCAAAAAGCACGCCCACCGTGGGGCTCGAACCCACGACCACAAGGTTAAGAGCCTTGCGCTCTACCGACTGAGCTAGACGGGCTTGCGACTTTGCCGTTTAGTATAATTCTATCTATTCTTATTACCACCCCAACGGACTACGTAATTCACCAGTAATGAGATGTGATTCGTTTCTCATATTTTATAATATACGGATCTCACTTGATTCATCACTCAGTTGGATTTGCTTTACAACAATTCTGCAAAATCTGATTCTTCATGGGTAAACAGTTCAGCCTCGGATTTCCTTTTGATTTTTAAAATCTTTTTTCAACATGAAAAATAAAAATCCTCAGCGCTTTTCTTGGTCCAAAAGGCAGAATCTGTCACTGTACCAGCCACTAGAAATTGCATCCACATGATATCTGGTCAGCAGAGTAAATAAAAACTTGAGTATTTTCTTTTTTTTTTTTGTGGAAAAACATCTGTTATCCTTACAGGAAACCGCCACCACACCACGAATCAATCCAGAAATATCAATGCATGTTGCATAAATGAATCTGAAACATAAGGTTGAACAATGATCAGAAGCCTAGTACCTCAATGTCCACCAGATTGAACAATGAAACTTTCTATTTAGCCTACGTTGACCAGGAAATAACAATAAGGAATACACGTAACTAGAATACAACAAATCTTTGAACGTTATGTGCTCGAATGGAGAGATTTAGCTTCAAACAAAACCTGAAAAGACATCGTGGTGTTCACAGTTCAGTTCACAGTCACCGCCCCATATAAAGCGAAGGCCAGAGACCAAAAATAATGGGCATGGCCATTTCCATTTCTCATCTAATGTTAGTCCTAAACCTACTATACACATTGAATAAAAGGGGAAATGTGGGACGAAAACAACAGTGAATGGGCATAGATTCTAACAAGTTCAGCAGGCATTCACACTACCGATTCTGAATCATACTTTTTAAGTATCATCATCTTCTAGCAATGGCCTCTGGACAGCAAAAGGAGGTGGTGGAAGATCAACATTCAATATACCATCTAGCACTCTTGCCACCTCCCCCATTGAAGGCCTCCTCCGTTCGTCCATTTGAAGACACCAGAATATTATTCTCAACGCACGTTCTAGCTCCTCTGAATCGATTCCACCATCAATTCTTTTATCAACCACATTGATGGATCGTCCTTCTATCCATTGTTCATGTGCCCACCGGCAAAGATCCCCAGTGTCTTGACGCCCAGATAACAGAGTTAATGCCAGCTTGCCAAAATCCTCCACATCTTTCTCAGCTGAAGAACCACAATATGATGCCTCACCATCTGCTCTTGCAAACCCAAATTCAGTTACCTTGGCCTCCAAGTTTTCATCCAGTAAGACATTTGCACACTTCAGATTGCCATGGCTAAGAAACTCCCGACACTCGGTGTGCAAATAGCAAATGGATTTGGCTACACTTGAGCATATTTGAAGTCTCTTTTTCCAAGTTAGCCTCCTGCAAAGAGCTGAATCACCAAAGAACTTATCCAAAGAACCATTCTTGACATACTCGTACACCAAGAATCTGTGATTGAACTCACAACAGTAGCCCTCCAGCTTCACTAGGTTCTTGTGATGGATGCTTCCTATTTTTGTAACTGCGCTCCTGAACCTCCTTTCTTCTATGCTGGCATTCAGATTCTTAACTGCAACCAAGTGATTGTCTTGCAGTGTACCCTTGAACATATTTGGACCGATTTGGTTCTTGAAATCCCCAGTGAGGCTCCTTATCTCTGGGAAGGACAACACAAACAAACCCTTCGAAACGGGGCATGTTAAAGCTAAAGTAACTTCTTTCCTAGTGATGTTTCTTCTTCTGCAGATCCAGAAACCAATTCCCAACTGTATGATGGCAAAGACGAAAAAAGTGGCAGAGGCTGCTCCAATCAAACAAGGAACACAAAGTGCTGGAGGCTGTTTGGGAGGAGGTGAATTAACAAGACCAGGATTCACAGCTAATGGACCTGAACATCTCTTAACAAAAGATACCGAGGTTAGAGATGGATCTGCAAAACCAGTGACATACTTAGTTTTCTTTATTGAGCATTGAGCACTCCCATCATTCAAAAAGGTTGCAACTGTACATTGTGGATCATTCAAACACAACTGCTTGCAATGCTGCAAACTACTTATGGTGATTGAATCTTCAGGTGGGTAAATTCCATATAGAAATGTTTTCTCATATGTAAGCATATTGATGCCAGATTCACATGCCTCATCATATGGAACCAAACATTTGTTAGGGTCAGCTAACTCAAACGGGCATCGGCAATCAGCAGAACCTGAAGCACTTAAAAAACACATACCACGTTGACCACAAGTTGCAAAAACCTTGCACTGATTCTCAACAGCCTGCCATACTGATTTCCATGATTGTAACGTGTCTATCCATGAATATATGCGCAGATTGCCATCCAAATCAAGCCTAAGAAACCTGTAATTCACTGATTCATTGTGGTCTTCACCAAATACTGACCAAACAGGTTTTGAACTTTGGTCTTGAAGTTGCAGGGCTCCAGAGGTTGTGAGACAAGCACTCAGATTTGCGATAGAAGGGCTATCACTTGTCCAATAGGTAATATTACTTTCCCATCGAAGATGTAACTGTCCCGAGCCATTCAAGTAAAGACTGTAGTAACTAGATGTGGTTTGCTTGCTGGCAGCTCGAAGTGTTTGATGCACAGATAAACTCTGCCCTGGGACTAGTGTATCAGATGGAGTATCAAAACTCTGCCAAACAACACGTTGCTCTCTGTCTATGAGCTCAAGATTGCCATTGTCACGGAAGGCTGCTGAAACTACAGATTGGTTGGCAGTTCCACTGGTCCATACTACTCCCTGTAATGAATCAAAGAGGACTAATTCCCCTTCGGGGGTGAGTTGGAAATACGACATGCTACCCACAGTGACATGAGCTCCAGCAACCCAGACCACAGTTTGTTGGCTAAATGGCATAGACTTTGAATTGAAACGTATGCCAATCCTGAACTGACTAGGTTGATCTGAAGTGTTAAAGAATCCTAATGCAAAATCACCATTGGAGGAGGCCCAGCTGTCATTGTCAACCACAGAAAGTTTTGAACCCAATGGAATTTCAGAAGTGAATGCTGAACGTAGCAAGAGGCCAGCGAAGATGCACAGCAAGAATGGCGATCTAATCAGACACAACTCCGGTTCAACCATATCTAGATATGCTCAGGGAAGCAGCGCTTGTGAAATGGTGATGAGAAAGGTATCCCCTAACGTGTCATTCACCCGTATAAGTTCAGACCTTGATAACTATAACACCTGCAAAGGGATAAGGTAAATGCAGATGTTATTATCAAGCCCGAGTGTGGTTTAGTGGTGCAATGGTAAGAACTCAGACACAATTTTGGATTCAGGAGAACAAATATGACGGATTTTGATATAGATTTTCAAAATGAACCAATGGGAAAGAAGATATACAAGATCTGTGGAGCCTGAACTGAAAGAACAGTCAGCAACTCTGATTCAAGAAGCTGCCACAGACTGCTGCAATGAACATTAGAGAAACGAGGTTATGCTACTTAACATGGGAGCTCCATAACTTTTGCAAAGTATCTTGAAATTGGACAGTGAGACGGGAGATTCTCAAGCAGAAGATCTTTTTTCTTTCGTTTAAAAAAGGCAGAGATGAAATTGATTGCCATTCAAAATCAACTTTGAGCAGTAAGGGGGCCCAAATAAATTACACCAGTGACAATGAGGAGCAAAATTTTGAGACTGCAATCATCCTTCAGTGTTCAAAGTGCCAAGACAGTGATATATTATCAGCAGAGCAGCCTTGAATTCCGCAGATTAATTTCAATAAAAAGAAGAGTAAAAGAGATACCAAGAAAACAATGGAAAGGATGAACCGACAAAGCCGATTTTCAACAGGGAATACTTTGAATGGGCACGAAATTACAGAAAGCTGAAAAAATATAGCTTACCATTTCTGAGTATGAGAGAAAGATCTGAACAGATCAACGACGAAGGGAAGCTGACCCTCACAACAGACGAATTTTGAGCTTCGACGCACCAAACCTCAAGGTCCATCCCAGCGGAAATTTTCTTTTTTTCTCTGGGGAAAGTTTCTGGCACCTAACTATTCTACAAAGGGAGGGAGCTAGAGAGAGGGACTTTCACAGAGAAAAGTGAAAACTGTGCCTTTTATTCAGCTGACTGCATGGAAAGTAGTGAATGGGGATAAAAGGAAGGAAAAGGGGAGGCTGCTGAAGACGGTGGATGCTAATGGGTTTAGATTTGGAGTAGAAATGTAAGAGTGAGAATACAACGGGAATAAAGATATATAGGAGCAAATGGGGTTAGGGAGCTAGGGAGTTAGCCGGAAATACAGACATAGAGGGAGAGTCGCCGGAGAAGATGAAGTGGTCGAGAAGAAAGAGGGCGTTGAAAACATCAGAATGTGAGGCAGCCCCTACCCAGAGAACGAAAGCGAACAAGTGGATTTTACTGGAATTCTCCTTTGAACATGCTGCTAGTAACATAGTATCTGCTACCGTGACGAGCGTGCATATATTTTTCAAAAAATACAAAAAAATTAGTATCGAAAGCAAGCAATGACTAATTTCAATTTACCCAATAGAATGAAATAACAAAAATATCTCATGATAATGTAGTGAAATTTAAGCAGGCAAAAAAAAAAAAAAAGGTTTTATTTTGTGTATTTGAGTGTGGAGTGGGGACGATGGAGGATCTGAGGGCGGGATCGGTCTCGGAGAACGCAGGAGCAACATGTGACCCCTAATGCCTTATTTTTTTGTCTCTTTGTGGTCACTTTCTTCAACTTGCTTTGTCCTGTTTTTCTCCTTTAAAAACAAAAATAAAAGAAAGTGTGACTTGTTTTTAATTTTTCCCATTTGCCACACAAATTAACAGCACATAAAACCAAAATCTTCATGATGAAAATGCATGAACATGAGTAATACAGTTTCCTCTCGCAACCAATATTCTTCCTTTAACGTGAAGCCACATCTGGCAGTCAAAGAATCTGATTATGAACTGCGCATCTTCCCTTCTTTCGTTAGCCCTCTGGTCTCTTTCTTCAATAATTCCAATCTGTGATTACAATTATGACTGTTAATATGAAATAAGATTTTCAGAGCATTGGTGAGTTATTTATTGATATCAAATCAAATCACCAATACAGAATGCAATTGTAATTTGACATTCTTTCACTGGCAAGTCAACTAAATTGCCCACTGGTTAATTTTTAATTCAGCGGAAGACATACCTCTCTGAGATGGGGGGATTTTTTTTTTTTTTTAAAGATCTTTATGATCTTGGAAAAAACCTCGTGACATGGGCTGGCTGAGAAAAGGAATGATGAAAGCTATAATTATTGGATTTGAATTTGGATTGAATAAGAATAAAGTGAATGATCAATACAACTTGGGGTTGGGAAGGGGGCAATATGGAAACAAAGGCTTGCAGGAGGTGGGTGGAGGAACAGTGGTTTGGAAGTCAAAGGTTGAATGATTAAAGAAAAGGAAAAGGTAGGCTTTAAAAAAAAAGGCAGAAAATTGGATAATATTGAAAGGTGAAAGATTCTGCCTTTTTTTTAGACTAAAAAATAAATAAAAACAAAAGTCCCAACTTTTTGATGAAAAGAATACAAATTAAATATTTCGAATCATACGTGGGCTGCATGCAACTCTAAATAAAGCGCCCTTCCCCACCTCCGCCCATTATGAACCCCTCCGTCCATAAACCAATTCGAAACCGCGAATATATTCTGCAAAACGCTGCGTTTCAGACCAAAAGCAATGGAACGCAACCGTAAAATTATTTCCCCCAAAAAAAAAAAGTCTTATCCTCCGATGCTGACCATCACCGTGCTAAAAATCACAGAACTCCCATATTTAATATAAAAATTAAATGATTAATTTAAATATATTAAAAAAATTAATTAAATTAGTTATTTGTAATAAATAAGTGTTATCTTCTCTGAAATATCATTGCTAATTATATATATTAGTTAAAATTACTATTTGATAAAACTTTTAACATGTATAATTATTATAAAATTAGTCTCAGAGGAAAATAAATATCACTCGTAGTGCTTTTCTCTGACTGGAACTTGGGAGGCAACAACGAACAACGTAACGGGCCCCCGGTTTAACCTTATTATTCTCACCTCACGCTTTCATTTGTTCAACAACTCCCCGTGATTCACTCATCTCCCTACGTGCGTTGAAATGTGAGTTTGCTTTCTTTGGTCATATTTATAAAATACATTTTAACCAAATTACATAAATTTTGAAGAAAACAGGTTATTAAAATTATTCGATGGTCTTTGTGTTTTTTCCCTCAGAACTCATCACAAAGCCATCTTTCGGATTACATTTAAACAAAGTCGTTAAACAGTGTTGAAGCTCTTTCTCCTCTTCTGCACATGAACTCAACCATCCAGGGCCTGTTTGAGTTATTATCACTTTCACATAAACAAAGATAAAAGTATTCACCCATACTTTACTTGAACCACGATTCTAAACAAGTCCCGGTCAACTGCTCAAGGAAAAGAAGAAAAATGAGCAGCCAGTATTATACGTGATATATGTACAGTAGAGGCTGCGGCTTTTTGACTTCACGGCATCATTGAGAAGTAAGATTCTACGCGAACACTTTGTTAAAAGGCCATGCTTTACCTTCATCCGGCCTTTTGAATTATATGAAGCCACCCTGTACTCTTGGACCATTCTCACGAGAATCCAAAGAGAGTTAGTGCAAAACTACTCCTTGGTCCCACAACAATAATCCCGCTCCTTTTTTTTTTTTTTTTACCAGCCCCAATCATATTGACTTTAAACTTCGTTGATTTTGATTTTGCCCATACCTCTCTGTCCATCACGCTTTTATTTTACTCAGCACTTACTGTATAACGGATACGGCTAGTGTTGTCCCACAAAAGAACTTCAAGTTGTATTTTTGGCCTGATAAAAATTTTGGAAATATTCCCCACATTTCAACCAGCTCCTGAAAGGCGTTAATGATTTTGTCTTTTAAGGTAAAACAAAGATATTCCTAAGTCGTATTAGACTTGAAACTAGTTCCTTTCAAACTTATAATGGTTAAGGAATATCCCTTCCAACAAGTGTGTTAATGATTTTGTTTTTGTCTTCCAAGGTACCGCTCTTTTATTCTTGTGTCCTGCAATGTCTCTCCTCTTCATAAAGTTCCCGATACATCACTCTCATAGTAGTCCATGACTTTGAGGTTTCATAATTTTGGTGCATCTTTGATTCCTTTTCTATGGGTCTCACTCTCAGCATGCTCGCCGCCTCGTACACGCACTTGTTTCCTTCTTTCTTCTTTTATAAGAGGTGAAGAAGAGAATGTTTGTCGGCGTCTCTCTCGGTTATGCGCAAGATCTGTTGTTTGTTTAAACAAATGGGCCTCAGGCCCAAAATATATGAGGCCCGTGGATATTGGATTAGGTGTGGCTTACTTCTCGTTCTATAGCGCAGTTCGTAGCCCCCGCCAATCCAGCCCATTCCTCGGTTGAGTTCTGAGTCCTTTTTTTTTTGTGTGCACGAGGTTGAGTGCTGTGAAGTTGCATGCAAGTGATCTGGAATGACACTTATGCCCTCTGACGGAGTGATGCGGGATGAGGATGGAGTTTGCATAATCATCTCCTAATTATAGGATGGAGTTTTAACACTCTATTTTATTTTATCCATAATCATCTCCTAGTTAATTTTTTTTCCAACATTATCCCTTCTTAATTGGTATGTCTTTAATTTCTAAATATAATTTATTATCTGATCATTAATTTCAATGAGGATTAAAATTGAAAAGGTCTTTTTAAAAAAAACTTGAATATATTAAATACAACCACTTAAAAATGGTAAAATTAAACAAATCTTAAAATAGTGCGGTCGTATTTTGAAATAAATAAAAAAAAATTACTAATTAAGATTAGAAGGTAGAGTTTTTTCAACGAGGAATCAAACAAATTTTATACAACTATTAAGAGTAGCCGTCAATGCAACCAGATCAAGACAGCTGTCAATTAGAGAGTGGAATGGGTCCCACGACGATAGCCACGAAAATGGGACCCAGAGGAGCCGCCCTGTTTTCCACGTCGCATTCCAATCCTCACTATTAAAAAACTAGAAAAGTCCACTTAACCTCAGTTGAAAAATTGCGATAGGTCTTGGCCGAGAGAATTAAATATAATTTTTTAAAAAAATTATTAAATTATTCTGAAGTTTCAAAAAAATCTCATTACAAAAGATTTTATTTATTTTATTATCAAATTACTCTTATTTTTTTAAGTATGTATTAACAACTGATAAAACAGTTGTTAACAACTTAAAGCGTAACGATTAACAAATATCACATAAGTATTAACAATACATTTTCTCAATGTATCATAAAAATATAATATATAAGTCGTCAATATCTACCGTAATACTCCCTCCGTTCCTTATTATAAGAGACATTTGATGCTTATGGCATGTTCCTATATATAAGAGACACTTAAAAGTTGTCTTTACTTTTTTGTGTTGATTTCCTATTTTACCCATATTTATTGTTTCCAACTCACACTCTCTCTTTCCTACTTCTCTTTCTTTTAATAATTTATCATTGTTCTCTCTCATGTTCTCTCTCCTTATTAATGAGGGCATTTTTGGAAAAAAAATTATACTTTTTACACATTGATTGTTCTTAACTAATTTTAACTGTTTTTTTGATCAACGTAATTCGGTTATTCGTCTCTTATAATAAGGAACGGAGGGAGTAGTTGTTAATCATTACATTTTTAATTGTTAACGACTGCACTTTTACTTATTAATGCATACTTAAAAAAAGATGAAAGTAATTTGATAATTAAACAGATGAAATCTCTTATAATGAGGTCTACTGGGACTTCAAATCAATTTGATAATTTTAAAAGACTTTTTTATACTTAATTTTTTTTAGATAAAACCTTATTGTAATTTTTCTTATTGTTATTGTTGTTGGTGCTGTGTCTACTGCTTTCTCTATCATGTTGATAATAAGAAACTATTACTTTCGGTTTTTAATATAAGATCTTGTTTGATTTTTATTTTGGTCATAAATATAAGATCCCAATCTATTTTGTCTCTCATATTTATATATTTTTTTCCAAGGTATTCCTTTTGACAATGATAATTCTAGCCTACACACTTAATTAACAAGAATATTTTATGAAAGATAACACCTATTTATTCTCAATAACTAATTTAATTTTTTTTATTAATCTCTTCAAATTAGTCAATTAGATATTATAATTAAGACTGGAGGTTGTATTTTTCAATTATAGACGAAATAAACGCGGGCAGCCCTGAAAAGGTGTTCCCTAATCTATGGCATAAGCCAGTTGTATAAAAAATTTTAAACCGCGTTGAGAATAACTAATATTTGTTTATTAATGTTATCTTTAAAATTAACGTTTAAATGTAATTCTTCATCTTTTTCTTCTCATTCGCAGCCTCATTTAATACAGGTAAGATTAAAAAAACTTAAGATAAAT